ACAAAATATGAATTGAAGCATTTCAACAACCTCACGCAACGCTAGAGGTGCTTGCTAGTCTATGTCAAAGAACTCAGCTATCTGACAAACCCCCCAGAAGAAAACCACATATGTATCCATTCCCAAGAAAGGTGATCCAACAGAATGTGGAAATTATCAGTGACATTAATACCACTAGTGCCATTGAGTTGATTACACTTCACAGTAAACCGAAGGCTGTGAATCTTTACGGCAGCAAATAGGCCCCTCTTTCTCCCATGGTGTGTGGAGTGGCTGGTGAAATTGAACAGCTGACCTCTCAGCAGTCCAACACTTAGCTGACAGCATCATCAGGGTTCCTAAATATCACACACAAGTATAATTTTACTGATGGCAATTTTAAAATAGTTGCAACACTACAGTAAGAGTGAACTGCCAGAAATTCAAGCCAAATTCAGAAGAGGGCATGAAAAAAGAGTTATCATTTTGATGTCATGGATCTTGGATATAAGAAGAGAATACATGAAAAATCTTTATCTGTGATTCTTTGACCATGCAAATCCATCTGACAGTATGGATCACAACAAATTATAGATAATATTGCAAATAGTGGAAAATCCAGCACACTTAGTTATGCTCACAAAAAAACCTGTGTATAGACCAAAAGACCAAACAGAATAGGGGTATAGTAAGAGGCTTATAAATAAAAAAAGGAGTCCATTAGAATTGCATTCTTTCATCATATTTATTTGATCTATTTGCTAAAAAAGTAGTAAGAGAATCTAGAGTATCTGAAAAAGAATGCATCAAGATTAACAACCTGCAAAACCATGCTTGCAAAAAGTCAAGACTTGAAGAAGCACTGGCTGATGATGATCAATGACTATAGTCTTTAGTGTGGAGTACACCTCAATAAAAATAGCACAGATTCTCACAATAGGACCAATTAGGAAAAACATGACACATGAAGAAAAAATTGGTGTTACATAGGAATTTTTTTTTTTTGCTTGAATCCATAATCAATACCTATGGAAGCAGCAACCAAGAACAAAGAAATCACTTTGAGGACTAAAGTGTGCTTAGTCCAAATCAGGGTATTTTCATTTGCCTAATATGCCTAGAAAACTGGAAAATGAATAAGGAAGACTAACCAAGAATAATGCCTTTGAATTATGGTATTGATGAAGAATATTAAAGATACCAGGGAAAAAAAGCATGGACAAAATTGATTTAGAGGAAGTATAGCCACAATGTCCCTTATAAGCAAGTGGGATGAGATCTTATCTCACTTTGAAACAATTCTACGAAATATCATGCTGGGAAAATAGATGATCAATGAAAAAAAGGAACCTGCAGAGAAATACTAGTGGACCGCCAACCTTTCAGGAGAGAATCCCTTTCGACATTTGCAAGCTCTGGCTGTCACTCTATTACCTTTAAATATGTGTTCTTTATGTTAGGTCCAGTATTTGCAATTATTATGTATAGTATGTTAACACAATACAAATTATTTTTTCTATACTTGAAGTAAAACTTTCTTGCATTATTTTAATGTGTGTTTTGCATGCCAGTGAGGTTTAACATGGTAAATTTAGGCTCATTTTGTGCATTAGGACATTAAAATTTTTACAGTTTTCTATATTTTGAAAGTTATTAAAATACTTGCCTCCTTTCTGATTTTAAAGGACCATGCCTCATGTTTTCTTCAAGACTTGTAAGGATTCTTTTGGTTGTTTATTCCTTGCATTTCAAGAATTATATTTATAACAAATCTATTTAGAATACTTTTTGGTAAATAATATGAAATATAGATTTATTTAAAAATACATTGAACTCACTATTTTCAAAGTCTATCTTTAACATTGGATTGACACCATGGGTATATCAATAGGTTCAAGTACAGTAACAATTGTGGGGATGGCACAGAAGCATGCAGTGTGTTTCGTTCTGTTAGGCAGAGGGTCATTCTGGGCTGAAGCTGACTCAAGGGCACTGTGTTAGTCCGTGTAGACTAGAGAAACAATTTTCACAGACACACGTATGTGTATAAAAAGGAGCTTTATATACAAGGGCAATTGAATATTGAGAAAACATCCCAGCCCAGTCCAGATCAAGTCCATAAGTCCAGCATTGCCCCATATGTGGATACTAGTCCATAAATCCTTCTTCAGACTCATGAACACCATGCAATTATGCTGAATGCAGGAATATCCCAGGGTAATGGGTGGAAAGTCTTGTGGATCCAGTGGTGGTAGAAGCCTCTCAGCACTGGTATGGGTCTCCACATGGGTCCTCCAGTATCCAGGGCTGGCTGCATCAGGGTAGCTCCATGTGGCTTCTCAGAAAACATGTCTCCCAGGAGTGAGCCTTGTCAGTAGAGAGTCTCCAAGGGAGTGAGCTTGTGTCCCAGCTCCTGGGAGGTATTTATCTTCTTAGAACCTCCAAATGAGGTCTTCAAGCTAAGACCTGATTATGAGGTTAAACTCCACCCCTTCCCTCTAATCTTCTCAAATTGACAATAGATTATGTAACTACCATAGGCACCCAACAGCAACATCTTTATCATATCATCAACTTTCATATATTTGGGAGAAATTTTGGGTTTTCAATTTTTAACAGGTATTTATGTCTATTCATGTGCCAATATAATAATAGTTGTTGATTCTCTATTGTGGTTTTAGTGTCTAAGAAACCAGTTCCCTTTTATTGCTTTCCTTTTTCAGAAACTTTTTGAAAATTCTTATTTGTTAAATGAAGTATGTTTTCTACTAAAGAACATAATTTTATCTGCTCTATTTTACTCATAAGTATTATTAATTCACGTATTATTTCCAACCTTTTTATACTAGTGTCTGTGCTAAGTGTCTTTATAAAAAGACACATGACATTTGCCAAGTTTAGAAGAGCAAAAGCTTAGTAGTTTTCAAAAGGTGAATTCAAATCCTGTGACTGGACATCTGCTCTGCACCTCTGTGTGTTCTCAACGCCATCGCTGTCTTCTGACTTGCTTCAAGGGCCACCGCAACACCAACAAGCCCGGTCTCCCTTCTACCAGGCAAGAGAATGTTTGGTTCTTTCCCCTTAATGAGCATCATGTCATAGATCAAACACTGTCAGAGGTGCAAGGGTCACTGAGGAATTTAATTCAGCCTGCTTACATGACCGAGAGAAAATCATAAGCTACAGGCACTAAATTTCCCCAAATTGAGTGAGAAAGTCACCACTTGTCATTCTTGATTCTACTTTCCCCTCCACCCAATTACATCAGGGAGAGATCTCACTGAAAAGCCAGTATCTCCAGTGTGATGGGTTCAAAATTCACTTATTTCGTTTATACATTGTTCAAGCATTCATTAAGGGGTAGTTTTCACCTAATATTTTCAACGCTGTTCCTCTATGTATTCACTGTCTATTAATTTGTACATCATTGATTCACCGATTCAATGTTTCTAGTATTATTTATTTTGATTGATCTAATAGAATATCAAACACTGAATCCATACTTAAATTAGTTTTAATTTAACTACATAGATAAAGTGCCTACACAGGAAATACTAATAAGCAATTTATACTTGGAATAAAGGAAAACAATTTGAGTAATATTACAGGCCATTCTAATGCTGCATGAGTTATAGATAAAGAGAGGTCTACAGGAGTTAGGAGTAATTGGAGACTGCTGTGGAGGTCATTTTGTGGTTGGCCAGATGTTGAGAGACTATGAGACATATTTAATATTGAGAAAGATCAACATGAGCCAACATTATGAGAAGCAATGTGAGGCTGGTTTCTTCGCACCTGACATTTACTTGAGCTTTTTTATCTCCTAATGATGGACACCTGCTTTGCAAGCTACTCCTGTTTTTTCAAGAGGAGCTGATACCAAGGGCTCAAGTAGAAAGTGTTTTGAGAATGATGATGGCAACAAACGTACAAATGTACCTGACACAATGGATGTATGCATGGATTATGATGAGAATTGTATGAGCCCCCAATAAAATGATTAAAATAATGAATTACAAAAAAGAATTTATTTGATAGTAAGTTATTGGGATATAGACTTCAAACAAATAGTACATGCCTCATGTACTAACATCACTGAGGCATACTTTTTGATAAAAACTGAATTTTCCAGGGTACTGAAGCTTATCCTGTAAAGATCAAAACATTTCTTCTTAATTATGTATTTTGCATATTTAAATATTTGTATAATAAATTTTAGCCTGCTCAAACTTTTAATGAAGAATTTATCATGTAACTTTTACACCCTTCCTAAAAACTAGAGTTCTCGTATTATATATTTAATCTTTTATTTTACAA